TATATATTTATATATATAAATACTATTAAACGTAATATAAAAATTTACAAAAAAATTGTATGTACAACAAGTAGTAGAATCATCAGTTCATAAAATCATTTATATGTTGTATCCAAAATAATATTTTAGGGTTTTTCTTATTCTACTATAAATTTTATCGGGTTTAATATATTTGATAAAATTATATAAAATTCTATATGATATAAAATAATCAATGAAATTTTAATTTCTTATATCAATATGACTAGCACAGTCCATCCTATAAAATATAAAAAACTTGCCCTGTAAATGCTGCAAGGATTTGATTTTATTTGAAATATAATAAAATAATATAAAACAACTTTACAAAAAGACAACAAACTTGAAATCCAAATATCATACCAATGACTTATTTTGAATGGAACATATTTTCAACTAGCCCTACAAACAAAATTAGCCATAATACCTCCAAAATATTGTTTTCTCTAAAAAAAATAATAAATAAGAATATTAAGATATGATAGTTATTTTATTTTAAATATAATTTCTATATAAAATCTCTTATATCTTAAAATATATGACTCCAAAAAATATGTAAAAACATTCAATAAGTTGTACATCATGTGTAAAAAGTATTGATGATAATGATTTAAGAACATATATTCTAGATTGTTTTGCAAATTTTGGTTTTATAAATATGTATTAATTTTGTTATGAAGACAAGTTCAATAGCTATGATGCTTGTAAAAATAAATAAATGTATGCTTAAAATAGAATTTAGAGTGTTTTATAATGCGATGAAGAATGTTGCTAAATCGAACATAAAACACATCTAAAAATTTTATCAAATGCAATGAAATTAATTTTTACATGTTGAAATTTTCTTAAAATAATTAATTTAATATCAAAGGCATGAAATCTTTCATAAGAATTCATAAAAAATGAACAAATACTAAATAAACATGCAAATCTTATCTGATTACAAACTTCATCATCTCAGGTGGACTAAAATACTATAAAAAAACATTACATTTAATTACTTAAACTAATATTGAAAAATATTGTATTCAACAACATTGAGCCTATAAAATAATACACAAATCACTGCATTGATTGTGTGATGTTGGTTTAGTTCAGTCTTTTAAGAAAAAGTTCACTTTTTAGTAACCATTTATCTTTGTGTCTTTATCTTTGCTCACGTTTTCATTAATGCACGTACAAGAACACCACTTCCCATTGTCTTCCTCCTTCAAGCCTATTATCTCAATATTATATTTGTTCATCATATTTCTCACTCTACCCATCATTATCTCTCTCTCTCTCTCTCTCCCTTCCTCTCCTTCCCTCCCTCTCCCTCTCACTCTCCCTCTCCTCTCCATTTATATCATCCTTTTTTTTATGTATTCTTGTCATCACCCAACTTTATCTCAATATCTCTCCATACTCCTCTCATATCCATACTCTTAGTCTTATTAATTATCATGACAATAAGCGCAAAAAATAATTTTACTCCTCCCCTTCTATTTATGAGAGAAATTTGATAATAAAGTGAAGATTATCTTACTTTAATTTTTTTGAAGAAGAATTCTCTTCACCCTTAAGCTTTTACTATGTTGTTCACATTATACTTTTTATAATATGTTTCATAATGCATTTTTAGCATGTTCTCCTACAAACTACAATAAAATTATGTATGTTTCACTTGAGAAAATATATTGTGTTGCACATTGAGTAAAAAAGAGAAAAAATCATATAAAGTTAACAATGATAGGCTAATCACACTTTCTTTTTTAGTTCTATTTTCAATCCATTATTATATATTAAAATGAAGGCTTAATTGTTAACTCAAATCATACTTACGTGATACCTCAGGATATTATGACTCAATTCAATTAGATTTAGTGCATCCACCCAATGAGCTTTAATGAAAACTAAGAAAGATTTTATGTTTCTTATAAAAAATAATAAAATAATAACATAATAAATAATTAACAACTAATTAAAAAGTAAAATATTAGAGTATTTTTTTGGATATTTTAAAAATAATTGAGTCATTATAACTCATGTTAGAAATTAGGCAAGGCCTTTTAAATCGTAGAAAATGAAGAACAAAATGATAAAAAGATCAAAGTACAAAACATACTAAAAATTTCATGCATTTTCACTTAATTGATGACTAGTCTTATTATTGTAGCTGTTAAATTTTATTATAATTTTGATTGTCGAGTATTTTACAACATTAATAGATTATTATTAATACAAAGATCTTATATTTAACATAAAAAGTGTTCTCTCCATTTATAAGGAAAAACTATCGCTATCAAATGTAAACATAATAAAATTCTGAAAATGCACCATTAATGAAAAACCCAATCATGATTGAGTTCATGGAGGATTGCATTAAAAAAAGAAGCCTCTTGAAGTGTGAGCAGTTTATTTTAAATATCTTATATAAGAACTTTGATTAATTCCAAGCTCTAACCCCAACAAAATCTTAAAGAATATTTACATAGATACAACTCAATTCCTATGAATTACATATCTAACTCCTAAAGTTCAATTTTTCATTCTATCATCTTATATATGCTTGAAAAGGTGTTTTTTCACTTTTTAAAGGTTAAAATGATAGTATTTGTGAAAAAGGTGTTTTTTCACTTTTTAAAGGTTAAAATGATGGTATTTGTGAAGTTATATGATTGATTTGGGTGGTATGAATATAAAAATCAAAGTTTACACATTAAAGATGTAAATACGTAGGAATTGGGTGGTACGTATGTAAATGCCCCCAACTATGGGGGACTATAATTAAAAGGAAAAGTTTAGTTATATGAAAGAAGCGAGCAAAAGAATAAGGGAAAATGAACAATTTATCCATGGGAGTGACAAACATAGTTGTTAGCCTATTGACTCCAAGCTTTATATGCCCCACATTCAGTTTTTAATTTCATGTATTGTTTTCTTTTTAAAATTATAGTCTCACTCTTACACAGGCACACACAAACATACACACGCATACACGACGAGACACTTAAAGAGCCGATTGGCTTCTCACGCATCCTTGAGTGATTTATAAAAATAAATATAGTATGATAAAGCTAGAAGTAATGTATTTCAATAAACCAAGAAAGATATTGTCATGAAAGTTTGGCATCCAACAAAGAGAATATTACGTAGGGAGTTCATATACATGTGGACTCTCTATAGAATAGTATTATACACTATTGTACAATATGTGTACAATAATATACAACACTGTTGTACATGGAATCCACATGCATACAAACTCTACACGTATTAATTTCTCATGTGACAAATCCTAAAGTAAACTGCATCTTGTCATTATTGTTTTCCTTCCATCACATTTTATATTTTGTTTTTACTACCAATGTGTGTGTGTGTGTGCGTGTGTAAATTTTAGATTTGACTTTAAAAATGAAAAGACTTGATATAATGTTAAGATAAATCATTCGTTGATACAATAGGAATAACTTAAATAGATAATATATGTTTGAGTTTTATTAATGGTTAGATCTATTATATCGTACACGTTAAATAAATATGTTAAATTTAAACATATTAGAATGCATAAGTATTTACTTATCAAATGAAATAATTGTTCATGTTCAATGATTTAGCTTTTAAAATGAAATATAAGAAATTTGACATGTGACATTTAAAATAATAATCCCCTACATGCTTTTTACATAATAATCAAATAATAATGCTTTAATATGAACATTTTTCCAAAATATTAAATTTGAAATATAATATTATTTTAATGTCAAAGATAATATTTTAACACACATATTGTTATTTGATTTCATATTCATCTTTAAATTTATAATGTTTACATAAAAATAAAATGCCATATTTGTCATGATATTTTGTGGTTTCATTTAAAATGAGATTTTATTGTTTCTATATTATTGATAATTCAACAAAGAAAAAAAATATATATTCTCTTACAATAAAATTATAAAATTTTAATTTAAAAATTATAAAATTTTACTATATTTTATCATCTATGGTTCAAAGAAAAATATATATATATATTTTTTTTCACTAATTAACATTATAATTGATGATCAATATATTATTTTGATCACTTTATTAAAGAAAATATAATTTTAATCAATATATTTTATTTTATGAAATTTATTAACGTGCGCTTGGTGCATATGCAATTTTACTAGTTTAAATAAGTATATGGGATATATTATTCATTTTCACTTTTTCATGGATAATGAAATATAATTTTTTTTATTTATATTTTAAGTAAATTAAATTTTAAATTTTAGTTATGAATACCTAAAATGTATGTAATCTTTTCCAAATTTAACTCCTTTAGGCTAGGGGGTGCATTATTTGGTCAAAACTGAAAAACTGAACAACGGAACTAAACTAACTGAATTTGGATGGTTCAGTTTTGTTTTAAAATTGGATTTCAGTGATTTTTAAAAGTTTAATATTTGATTTTCGGTTCAATGTTTTTTAATTTTATTATATTTTAATTTTATGGGGAATAAACTAAAAATTTCAATTTTTTATTATAAATAATATGTGATTGAAATAAATAAAATATTTATGAAATTAAATGAATATTATGTAGATAAGATATGTAATTGGTATTGCTTGTTCCTACTTAAATTTTAATAAATACTAAAATTTCAGTTTGCTCATAATCAAACTATTTAGATCAAATTAGATTCCAATTTGATTTTATTAAAATTTATATTGATTTAATTTTCTTATTTTTATATTTATATTTTAATTAATATGATCAATTTTAAAGTGGACCCATTTAAAACGGATAAGGTTACCGGCGGCGCTCATGAAACTCTCTCATTCCTTCGCCTCTTTGTTTTCTTCATGGCAGCCATAGCTCACACTATCTCTCTACAGCCATACTTGCATGGCTTGCCATTTCTTCTATTTAAAACCTCTTCGCCATGATCTCTCCCCCTCCTTCTTCTCTCCGACTGCTATTCTTTTCCTCCTTTCCTTCAAAACTTCTTTCCATTCCCCCTTCTTCTTCTCTTTCTTTCCTGCTTTCTCTGCCGCCCGCTCATCAACAAGCTCCCCATGGCGGCAAGGTGCTCGAGAAAATTACCAAAAGAGGGCCTTTCAGCGCGAAGAGCTTCGCACTCGACAAAAAAGTTGGCTATCCGCCTGCAAATATGGGTTCTAAAGGAGGCAGAGAGATGCTTCTTGATGGATTTTCGTCCATGAGGTTGGGGAATGAGGAAGGGGATGAAGGATTGAAGAAATCTGTTAACAGGGACAACGAAATGAAGAAGGAGAAGAAGAGTCATAAAGGAGAGCTCAGTCCAGAAGAACTTGAGTTTAGGATTGGGTTGGATATGTGCTCCAAGGCTGGGGATGCATTGGGAGCCATCTCTCTGTATGACAAAGTCATTAGAAAAGGTTTAAGGTTGCAGCAGTATCACTATAATGTGCTGTTGTACCTTTGCTCCTCCGCGGCGATTGGTTTTGTTTACCCCGCAAAGAGTGGAACAGTTAAAAGTGGTGGTTTTAGTTCTGGCGAAGAGGCTTCAGACGATGATTCAAAGTTGCAAAATTTAAGCATGCAGAAACATTTTGGAAGCTTGAAGATGCCAAAGTTGCAATCTTTAGTGAGTTATTCCGAAGATTGTGGACCAGAGTCTTGTGATAATCAAATCCTTGAAGTTATGGAGACGAGAACTATTGGGGCGCCTCTTATATTAAGTGATGATCAGAGAACATATGCAAGAAGAAGGGGGTTTGAGATATATGAGAAGATGCGCTTGGAGAAGGTTCTAATGAGTGAAGCAGCTATGACATCAGTTGCTCGAATGGCCATGTCCATGGGGGATGGAGACATGGCATTTGATACTGTAAAACAGATGAAGGAGATGAATATAACTCCGAGGCTTCGCTCATATAGTCCTGCAATCCTTGCTTTCTCCAGTAATGGAAGCCTTGAGAAAGCATGTGAAGTAGAGAGACACATGGTTGAATCAGGGATCACACCTGAAGAGCCTGAATTGGCTGCTCTTCTTAGAGCCAGTGTGGAAGCTGGAAGAGCAGAGAAGGTTTATTACTTGCTTCATAAGCTTAGAAGTACTGTTAGGCAGGTTTCTCCATCTACAGCTGATATAATTGATGCCTGGTTTAAGAGTTCGACTGCTTCTAGAGTTGGAAAGAGGAAATGGGACAAGATGGCTATAAAACAAGCTGTGGAGAATAGTGGTGGGGGATGGCATGGCATGGGCTGGTTGGGCAAGGGAAAATGGGCGGTTATGAAAAGCCATGTTGATGGTGAAGGTGTTTGTTCGGTTTGTGGAGAGAAGTTGGCTACTATTGATCTGGATCCTGTTGAAACTGAAAATTTTGCCAAGTCTGTAGCATCTATAGCAATCAAGAGGGATAGGAACTCATACTTCGAGAAATTCCAAGTAAAACTGCTCAGAACTTTGAATTTTAGTTTATTTGCTCTACTTGCGGTTTTACTTTTGCTCTAATAAGCAGTATTGAGCAACATGTAATCGTTATAGTTGTGTCCGTGTGCTTTCCTGAGTGTTAACGGGGAGCTTCGTGTCTGATTATCCCAATTCTTATGTATTTAGATATGTAACACCTAAACTTTGCTTTCTATTTTCATTTATACCATCAAAATCTTTCATGTCACATCAAAAGTACCACTATATTGTCTTTTAAAAATCGAAATAAATCTTTTCATGCATAGATAATGTGGCATATATGTAAAAATTGAAATTTAGGCTGGAGCGGAGATAGATTATGTTCGGGGAGGGTGGGGGGGCGCAATTGCCTCAACTGAAATTTACAATATCTCTATATAAATAGTCAAATTTAATCAAATTTAACATTTTTTTTCTCTGTAAATTAGGCAATTTAGTAACCCATCGAGAACTTTACATCTCCATTAATAGGTGATAACAGGAGAAAGCTGAGGAAGAAACCCACAGAGACCCGAAAACACTTTCTCAAGTGAAATAATAAAAATAATGAATGTTACAGTGAATAGTAAGCTACATAATATATATAATACATTAATGCAAATGGTTTCTAAAAAGATAAAGAGGTGGTCCCATGTGGTGTTTAATTTAATAGTGTAGTGGAGAGTCAGGCTCTAGTAGGAAGTGCTGTAGGTTTGTTATCCCCCCTCAAGCTCGACATTTGATGGAGTGCGGTGAGCTTGTGTCGTAGACGGTAAAAGCGGGCAGTTGTATGAAACTTTGTGAATTTTTCAGCCACTTAATATGCCGAACTAATGTGTAGAATTTTGATGTCACCCGATTAAATGTGATCTCAAATGAAATGGTAGTTTATTTTGATATGTTTGGTGCAGGCGTGGAAGATTAGGTTAAGAGTGATGGCGATTGGTAATGTATTGTCACACTGGATTGGTGTTGGACTTGGAGTGGGAATATGAAATCCTTGAAGTAGTCTCCAAATCCATATTACATTGCTTGTAGCAGCAACAAGTGCTCGATACTCAGCTTCTGTAAAGGAGCGAGCTACTATATTCTATTTCTAGACTGTCCATGAGATGAGGTTGGTACCGAGAAATGCGTAGAATCCAGTTGTTGAGCTTCGGTTTTGTGAGTCACCAACCCAGTCGGAGTTGGAGTAGGTGTGGAGTTGAGGTGAGCTTTCGGTTATTGGGAGACCAATTGTGATGGTACCTTTAGATAGCGAAGGAGACGTTTAATGAGTTGAAAGTGGTAAAGAAGGGGGTGATGCATATGCTGACATATGTAGTTGACAACAAAGGCCATGTCTTGTCTTGTAATGGTAAGAACCTGAAGTGAACCGGCAAATTGTCGGTATTGAGTGATATTTGGAAAGTTTTGAAGGGAGTTTTTGTCAGGTATCAATTTGTGGGGAAGAGGATTTTGGACTGGTTTGCTCATGGATAGGCCAAGTTGGTGGAGGAGGGATTGAATTTATGAGGTTTGGGTTAACTGGTGACCATGGGATTTGCGGTTTATATTGATACTAAGAAGGTGTTGATCAAACCCAACTCATTGAGTTAGAATTTTAATTGGAGGGTTCGGATGAGGGTTGAAATGGCGTGAGGGTCACTTCCCGTGATGAGGATGTCATCGACATACACAAGGAAGTGGATGAGTTGCCAACTGAAATATTGGGGGTTTGGATTTGGGGTTCCTTTAGAATTTGGTATTTGAGGAGGACAAATTGATGAGCCATTCAAGAAGCTTGCAAATCCATTTGCCTTGAAGAGCTTAAAGATTTGAGGTTTCCAAGTGGGATAGTTGCTTTCGGTGAGCTGAACATTTGCAATAGACTTGACATCGGACATTAGAAATTTATGAGAGGTAGGGATGGGTGCTTTGGTTATTTTTGGTAGGGTGGGAGGATTCTCTCGGTTTTTATAAGTGGAGGCTGCCGGCATTGTTAGGTTAGGGAGAGAAGCAGGTTATGGGGAAGAGAGAATGAATTTGGAAGGATTATTGAGGAGAGAACCTGATTGATTTCATATCACGAGAGCTTTACAGTTCCATTAACAGGAGATAGCAAAGCTTCTTATGGGAATGCTGAGGAAGAAACCCACGGAGACCGAAAACTCTTTTTCCAGTGAAATAATAAAAAATATTAAAGGTTACAGTTAATAGTAATTCGTATAATATATATAATACATTGAGGCAAATGGTTTCTTGAAAGGTAAAGAGGTGATCCCATGTCGTGGTTAAGTTCAAAGTGTAATGGAGAGTGAGGCTCTAGTAGGATGTTACAAAATGCTTAAAAAAGTTAAACATTTGATGATTTTGCCCACTCTAAAAAATAATGCCGGTTCCGCCCTTGAGTATAGGTGTTGGATATGTAAATATATAAAACTTGACTGGTATGTATGTAAATCTTCCTTTGTTTTAATATTTGCTACTGTGATATAATTTGAAGTTTTGTGCTACAGTTTCTCATATGGTTTAATTAAGCAGCCAGTTTCAATTGTGCAAATTTCTTAGCATAAATCTTAGGAAGGTTGAAAGGCTAAGGGCTGATTTTTTATTAACGTTGCAGAAATGGTTGGAGTACTATGGTCCTTTTGAAGCTGTTATTGATGCTGCAAATGTTGGCCTTTTCAAGCAGCGGAGATTTTCTATAAATAAGGTGTGCCATAGTAGTATTATGGGAAATTTACATACTTAGCACACAATTCTTATTCATTTACATATCTCACTCCTAAATTTTCATATTTACATACATAGCACTTCGGTGCTTTAAACTTATGCACGAAAATATGTATTTCACTTTTAAAAAGTGACAATAGTGCTATTTTCGACGTGATGGAAAAGATTTGAGTGCTATGTGTGTAAATATGAAAGTTTAGGTGTGAGATATGTAAATACATACTGAATTCCTTCTGACTTAAATGTTATTTCTGACTCATCTTAACTGTTGATTTTGAATTTGTAGGTAAATGCTGTTGCTAATGGCATAAGGCAAAAACTCCCATTAAAGAAGTGGCCTCTTATCTTAGTGCATAACAAACGCCTCTTTGGAGGGAAGATGAATGAACCACTCAATAAGAAGCTTGTAGAGAAATGGAAAAATGCTGATGCTATTTATGCAACTCCTACAGGATCAAATGATGACTGGTGAGAATATTTTTATATGATATTTTGATTACCAACCCAAACATAATGTAACCATTGTTTTTCATAATCTATATTGTACTAAGCAATCTCGAAAAAGCACAAATGAAATCATTTTGCCATCTCTTTCTTATTTTTGTGGGACTTTTATGAAAAATATTGTTGATACAAGAGCATTGTGATTTGCTATAATGTAATGATTGCGATTGTTTACATTTTCATGCCATATGCTGTTTTTTTAGACCTTTTTGTATCATTGAATCAATGGAACCTAGTCTAGGACAATCGAAGACAAACCAATTTCAGGTTTGTTTGAAGTTGCTGCAAAAAAAATTTTCTTAAAAGTTGTTACGATGAAAGTAACCTTTTTTAAAGTTGTTGCTGTGAGGATTATAAGTATGTTTTTTTTAGAATGTCTAATGACAATTTTCTTATAGCTATTTACTTCAATAGATTTGGTTGTACAAAATAAATTATCAGCACAAAAATTTATTGAAAGCAGTAGTCAAACAAAAGTGTAGCAGCAGTCAGAAGCTACCCCTGAACAGACTCATTTGGAGAAGCTTTAATACTACTTTCCATTTTCAGCGTTGTTTGATTGGTATACTTTCCTAAAAGTTCTTCTCACAAAACATCATTTTGTAGTTATTTTAGACACAAATTTTTAGAAAAAAAAAAGCTGAACCAAAAAAAGCTTTAGTCTATGTACATGTTAGCCCTTAAGTAGAAAAATGAAGAGAGAACAAAATATGAAAATTCAGCATCTAAGCTGATAAAAATTCCAAAAAATATGAAATTGATTGAATAGCAGTTAAATTAATGAGTTTTGATCTTCATATGGATTCAATTAAGTAACTTCAATTTTTAAACTAGTTATACTTGTTTGTCATGTAATTTTACACTTTCATATTGCCATGTGGCTTAAAAACCATGTAAAGTGGAAGATTTGACAGGATAACTACAAGGAGAGTTCTACAATGGAAATGACCCAAAATCTGGCCTTCAAATGTTTGATAAGACAGGCAAGAGGGCACATAGCTCCCAAATTATGCAATAAGTTTTGGATTGGTCTCTGAGATATTTTTAAGGAAATTTACGTACATACCAAACATTTCTTATGTAGTTATATATCCAACACCTAAAGTTTGATTTTTACACTTATAACACTTTGGTTTCATTAACCTATGCATGAAAAGATGTATATCACTTTAAAAAAATTAATAATTGTGGTATTTTTTATGGGATGTTAAAATTTTGACTGTTATAAATTATAATATGAAAGTTCAGATGTAAAATATGAAAATAAATAAGGATTGTGCGGTGTGTTACGTGTGTATGTAAATGCTCCTATTTTTAAATGAAAGGAAACTATTTTGAGATTTTAACTATTAGACAGGAGCATTTCTAGGGAATTTTGAAATTAATCAATACTCATGAAAAGATGGTAGTCGTATAATGTCATGTTTAGTTGTGTGAAAAAATCAAGCTGGCCAACAACTCTACATCATAAACATGAGTTTGTACTTAAAACACTGAAAATCGAAATTATTTGTAAATGTTTTCTTCTCTAACTGTAATTTTTTTCTTAGATCTTACTGCATTAGATCACTATAGATGATAACATGGGGTTCAGGTACTGGTTATATGCAGCTATAAAATGCAGAAGCTTGGTTGTCACCAATGATGAGATGAGAGACCATGCTTTCGAGGTTTTAGGAAATGATTTCTTCCCCAAATGGAAAGAAAGGCATCAGGTGAAGAAGCAAAAACTTGCAATATAAACTTTATTAGTTCTTCAGTAACAAATTCAACATAAAATGCTTATTCAATTTTATTATGTAAATTAAAGTTTTTTTTTCTTTTGCATGCATTATGAACAAGTAATTTGTTGTAAAAATTTAAAATTAATACGTATGTTTTACGCACTTATATCGATATATGCATGCAAGCATGCATGTTGTTGTGCGGTGCATGCTTAAATGATTTGTTATCATTCATGAAGGGCTTGATTTCGATCACTTTTATTTTTTGTTTTTTGTTTTTGTTTTTTCTTGTATTTTGAGAACATGTGTTTAGTGTAATTTTTGCATTTTGTTTAATTTTAAATAGTAAATTAGTTTGTTTTTAAAAACATTCAAAACATCAAAACTTATTTTGAGTTATTTTGATTGTTTTTAAAAACAACCAAACATATTATTTTTAAAAAAAATCAAAAGAAAAAAAATAAAAAATGATCCCAAACAAGCCCCAAAGATTATTATTTTTATGAAGTTGTGGGGCCTAACTTCTATTCTATGAAACAAATGACCACACAGGCTTAGTTGTGGCCAACCTCCGCGAATAACAGTGATCAAGTTATTGTGGGGGTAGACAGAGCACCCCAAAGATTCTAATATTTACAAGTCCTTTCATTAGTTTTGGATATGTTGATTAAATTGTTTTTTGATTGCCCTAATTTTTCTTCATAGAGAAAACAGGGGACTTTATGTTTTATCTATTGAATTATGGTTATAAATTGCCACAAAGTTAAAATCATAGTAAAATCAGCATTGATAGAAATAGGATGTCATTAATATATTTTCTATTATGAAATCATATCATACTAAAACATTATTCGTTATATTCTCTAATTTGAAGGCCTTATACTATCTTGTTTTAGGTTCGTTTCAAGCATGAAGATGGAAATTTTCAGTATGTAATGCCACCTCCATGCTCTGTTGTCATTCAGGTTGGTTTCTCTTTAATTTGAAGGAGACTGCATCCAAAGTTGATTTTTTATGACTAAACACCTGTCATATTGTTTATTAAATTAATATTGAAGTTGTGCATTCAGTTAGTTAAGTTTGATTGGTTACGAATTTGTTAAACCAGTTGAATCAGACTAGAGATTATAGATAGAATCAAACTGACCAAATCTTGTGTAGAATTCAACTAAATCAAATTGCAATGTAGTTTGGTTTATTCACTTCAATTTTAGTTCCAAATTTAAAAAAAAGATAAAAGATTCAATTTTGATATTGCAAAAATCAAAATCAAACTAAAATAGGAGTAGATGAAAAACCGACAATAATTACTTATAGAGTAAAGAGCTAAAATAGTCTCCCGACTATTTACATCTGATGATTTTATTTCCAAAGTTTATAAAAGTGCAAACTTAGGGGTCATTTGAGATCACTTTTATTTTTTGTTTTTTATTTTTTAATATTTTATTTTATTATTTTTATTTTTTTATGTTTTGATTTGAAATAAAATATATTTGAATTGTTTGATTAATAAATGATTGTTTTTTAAAACACTCAAAACATTAAAAAGTTATTTTAAGTGTTTTTAAGAACATGCCTATTTGTCTTTAGAAACAAAAAAAAAATGTTAAAAACAAATTAAACAAACATATTTTTAAAAATAAAAGAAAAAATAAAAACAAAAATTAAAAAAAAATAAAATTGATCCTAAACAAACCCTTGTTTCTAGAAGTTTTTAATGGGAGTAATAGTCCTTATTAATGATTATTTCAATTTGTATTAAAAGAGTACGGGGACTAATTTGATACTTTTTTTTAATTATTATTTTCTGCGCAGTGCCCCGACCTCTTCGGCTCTACCAGACTTGCGAGACTTCTCCTTGCTGTGATGAAGCTGTCTTCTTCTTTGGTTGAACCTGACAAAACCTTCTTTGCCCACGTTGTGGGTAATTCTCAGAGGGAGACGACGGTTGTGTTCCCCTCAAGTTATAAGGAGAATCGTGATGATACAGGTGACTGCCCCTTTATTAAGAATGCAAGCAGTAAAAGTGGGCAACACTATTTTTCTCTTTCTCTGAGTCAGAAATTTCAACCATGACTGACAAATTCAAGTTTGCTCTCATTGTAAACTTTCAGTGGGGACACTCACCTATGGAGGTTATCAGAAAAAGTTTTGATGACCTCAAATTAGCAGGAAAGTGGAAAATGAGATTTATGGATGAGAGACATGTTTGGATTCAGTTAACCCTGTCTGAAGACTATACTCGAATTTTCTCCAAAAAATATCTTAACATTGTTGGTAAACCTATGAAACTAAAGTGGTCTCCGAATTTTGACCCAAATCATGAAACTCCCACTGTATCGGTATGATTTAGTTTACCTGACCTCAAGCTACATTTTTTTCACCATCAGGTTCTCTGCTTGATTGGGGTCATCTTTGGTGATCCTTTGAAGCTAGATCTGTCTACTTTCAACCTAACCAGACTCTTGGTGGCCTGAATACTTGTGGAAAGGGATATTACTTTACCTAATGTTACTGAAGTCTGGCTAGGCACGACCCATAATGGTTATTTATAACGATTCGTCATGAAGCACAGACCCTCATATTGTACCCACTGTAAGATGTTTGATTATGTCCTTGATAAATGCCACAAGTTTCATCCAAATTTGAAATCTAAAGTTCAAGTGAATAAGGATGGGCCTAACCCCACTACTTTGGACATTTTAGTTATACCTGGGGAGGATACTACCAGACAAGAGGTGTCTGTTGCCCCTAAGAAACCCCCCATGACACTGTTGTTACTGTTACTGCGAGTAATGTGATGCTGACACCTTCAAACCCAATAGAAAATAATACTGATGGACTGTTACTTACAAATGATAGTTTTCATCAAATTGATAATCAGGAGAGCCTCGCAGCTCCACTTCTTCAAGAAATAACCGGTGTAGCGGCAACTCATACTTCACATATTGTAGAACCTATTGTGGGTACTAGGGTTGGTAATCCTTCTACTTCAGCTCTACTGCCCCATCAGACTGATTCTTCGGAAGAGGAATGACAAGATTCTTCGGAAGAGGAATGACAGGTCTATTCCAGGAGGAAGAAGAAGAATGGAGGCCGACTCCAGCTCGGGAACATATTGGATGATATATTAGTTACTACTGACAATGTCAATCATCTTACCAGCTTATTAGCTTGCTCCTACCCTAGAACTAGAGGCAGAGGCAAATCCAAATTGGGTCGCTCTTTAGCCACCTGATACTATGTATTTCGACACTGTTAGGTTTTTTTTATTTATCTAATGCATTTTTCTGTTTTTTTCTAATTTTGGAACTATTTAGGATTTTGTGTGGGCAGAGTGTCATGTTTGGGCCCTCCCACACATTGTATCTTTCTTTCTATTTAATATATTAGCCTTTTGGTCTTTCAAAAAATATATATATAATCTGCTCTCTCTCTCTCTCTCTATATATATATATATATTTAGATTATGCATCCATACCACAAAATTCCAATGCATTTACATATCTAACATCTAAATTTTACTTTTCACATCTATACCCCCCAAATCTTTCATATAAAAGAATACCATTATTCAATCTAACATCTAAATTTTACTTTTCACATCTATACCACCCAAATCTTTCATATAAAAGAATACCATTATTCTAACTTTTAAAAAGTGAAATATACCTTTTCATGCATATTTAAGGTGACACATCCGTAAAAAATGAAAGTTTAGGCGTTAGATATGTAAAGACATGAGAATTAAATGGTATGTATGTAAATCTTCCATTTATTTATTTATTTTGTTAGTAATGTAAATGTAACATTTACTGACACAAACTTGGACATGAATTCAGGAATCAGAGAGAGGCCACTGGCACATTCCTATAGCAGAATGTGAGCAAGGATCAAGCAGAACCTGGATGTGTGTAACAAGGGCCAGCACAAGCATGATAGGATCAGCTTCACCAACTAATTCAGAAGGTAAACTTGGACTTCTTCTATCTTCTACAGAATCATGCTAACATATATTGCTAATACGAAACTCAAGGTGTCAAATCGGGTTTACATGTCGGGTTCGGGCATGACCTAAACCCGACTCAAATATTAAACAGGTCAGAAAATCCAACCCGATCCTCATTCAACCCGCTAACCCAAATCTGATTCATACAACCCATTTAACATTGATTTGGACTAAATTTGGGGTCGATTGCAAATCAATGTTGGTTCAGTTTCGGATAACCCAAACCCGAAATTACTGCATGCGGTTCATTTATTTATGCAATTGACTAAAACTTCAGTTTTTCTTGGTAATAATATTAGTGAGATTACTACTTTAGATGAAAAAGTTGCAGAGCCATGGAGGTCTGCATCTGATAATTACCATACAGAACTCAGCAGCAATCCTTCCAAGCTTCCACAGAACAAAATTAAGAAAGAATCTCAGATTCTTGCAGCTTCCATTCAATCTCCAAAGAATCAAATAATGTCTGCTATTGAAGCTGCAGAGAAGATTGCAGGCTGTGTTATTGATTTCCAAATCTAGCAGGACCATAATGTAAATGTACAGGAACAATTATAACTTGCTTAGGGGAGATTATGTGAGGAAAATAATTTGGACAGAATTCTATTATTGCAGATTCAATTTTCAGGGTTTTTTTGCTTCCTGGTGATTGTTCACAGTGAAGCATGATTATGTAACTTGAAACTTTACTGTTTTGTTACAGGTAGTCAATGTAAGTGGGGGCATTTACATATTTACCACAAAGCTCTTTATGTATTTATACATTTAACACCTAAACATTTTCATATTTATAAGCATGCCTTTCAAACCTTTTAATGTCACAGCAAAAATACCATCATCACTATCTTAAAAGCGAAATACACATTTTCATACATAAGTTCATGAGACCAAAGTGTTGTTAAGTATAAATATTAAATTTGGGGTGTTAGATATGTAAAATTGTGTCCTATGTTAGTAAATTTCCTTTTTTTTTATTTGTTCTTAATGTGGATTGCATTTTGTCATGGCTAATTGTATGTTTTCAGCATCTCCCACCTCCTTTAAAGTTTTCTAGACCTCAACCAAAAGTGAGGTCAACAAGTGCATGCATTGAATGCTTGTGAAAACTATGATTTTAAAGGAGTTGTATTTGATTCTTATATAAACTATGATTTTAAAGGAGTTGTATTTGATTCTTATTATTTTTTTTTTTTGCATGATTGATGATTGGTTAAATTATTATGCACATTAATGAAACTAAATTAATAAATAATTTGGGAGGATGCAAATTACAATTACTATCTAAGAAAGTTAATGATTAGAATGTGCTTCGAATTTGAGTCTCCTAACTGAAGAGAAAATTCTATACCAAGTCTTCTCTTTAGGCATTAATTCAACTAGTAATTAGATTTTATTTTTAATAACCATAACAACAATGATAATAATTACATTTAGTTTTTGAATGATCTGCTCATCCTAAACTATTATCATATCCATTCAATAAGTAATAAGTAGCTTTTGAGTAAATAGATATGCTTCAACTATTGATAAATTTATTTGTAATTGCTAGATCAACTCTATAACCACAATCAACTTTTGATTGATCTTGTTAGAAGGGGGTGTAATAAAAATATTAGAGATTAAGGGTCTGTTTGGAACAGTTTTTATGCATGTTTTGCATTTCAGACAACCACCACAACCCTGTAAGGGGAACTATTTCCTCACTGCTTTCTAAAAATTTGTGTGATGGGAAGCTGTCTTTTCCGTTTGATCTGTTAAAATCCCGTGACTGTGTTATCCAATCTCTCCAATCTGACCCTTCAAAGATTGAATTGAATACTAAATATAAAGCCCTAAAAGGACCCTTGTAAGATAGAGAAATTTTAGTTTGGAGAACCTTAAATAGCGTCGAGGATGGCTAAGTACAAGACTAATGATATTGATAATAATGATGATAATTAATCGGAGAAAAACATGCCTACATCAATCTGATGGAAATGAACAATTAAAAAAAAGGAAGATTCACACACACGCCACTCAATTCTCATGTATTTACATATTTAACAACCAAACTTCAATTTTTATCTTAAACTTTAATTTTTATGCATATGCCAACTTGAATATGCATAAAAAAGTGTATTCAAAAGAGATTTTTGTTGTAACATGAAAGATTTAGATGATATAAATGTAAAAAAAAATAAAATTTAAGAATTAGATATGTAAATACATAAAAAATTGAGTGGTATGAACATAAATACCAAAAACAAAAACAAAAACAAAAACAAAAAACGCACAAACAAAAGAAGCGTGAGTGGAATGAATCAAGACTACAATATGGCGATAACATAATAAGAACATTCAACAAAGAGAAAAAAGTCTAATCAGAATACTTTTAAGTGTTGGACTTAATATGGGGGAAATTACACGCAGACCACTCAAAACTAGCTATTTACAAATTAATCATTTTTTTTTCAAATTCACACTCAAACATCAGAATTGATAAAACCCCCACCCATGTTTTTCATTTTATCAAATTCTCAATAGTTTGATCATACACGGCAGCACAAAAAAACCAGTTGAATGATTAATTTGTAAACATCAATGTTTAGGGAGTTATGTATATAATTATCCCAAAAAAAGATGTTTATAACACCCATAACAGCTTCAGAAAAAAATTGATTTCTCCACAGCAATTTACCACTGCCAAACATCAAAAATGCAACCTCCCAAAATAAACCCAAGTCATACCCTCTTGAGTCCATCGAAAATATATTATTTAGATCTCAAGCTCAACACCAATCATGATATATATATATATATATATATATAGAAACTGAAAATTTTTAAAAAAATGAACTCTAAAATCACAAACTAATAAATTCTTTATTTCCTCCTCTAAGTGAAGATATACAACAGAGAAATCAACAGAGAAAACATTAATACAAAACAACTCTGAAACACAAGAATATGAATATGTGTGGAATCACTGAATCAGTGGAAGAAAATACTCAAAACTAAAAACAATTTGAAGTAAAGCACAAATGGAGTTCATCAATTTTACAAGCTCCCTACTTTACTAATGGGTTTATTTGTCTTCGATTTGGCAATATTAACAAGATCCCCAAATAGTTTATCCTCGGGCTTCTGTGGCTTGTTGTTCGACATTGGCAAGTATGACGATGAAGATGGTCTCTGATAATATGAGTTAGGGTTCATGTATGTGTTTTCTTGCATGGAGAGGCCATAGATTCTTTGAGAAACATCATTAGGGTTTGGGTATGGGTATATTGGTCTCATTTGATCATAAATTTGTGGCTGTTGTAAATAACCAGTCATCTGGATTCCATACAAAGGTTGCTGAGGGATGGCAGCGTAGGGTCCTGCAGGTATTGGTTGATTATACATACCTCCGGCTTGGTTAATCTGCATTTGTGGAAGATACATTCCTCCCACTGGCATATTTTGAGGAAAAAATCCGCCAGCTTGAGCAGCCTGCAATGGAGGGTTGTGTAGCCCTCCAGGAAGGCCGTTTTGCATCGCTGTAGGACTATGCATCCCCATCATCGGAGTTGGTTGCATTGCTTGAGGGATTTGCTGGTTTTCACCGGCTACTTGGGTGGTCGGTGAGGGTTGAGACTCCCATGGTGGTGGGGGCAAATCTCCTGATTGATTGGGCATACCTGCTGAAGAAAACAAGTTTTCAAATTAGGTGGCTAAATGAGTCGAGTCGAACAGAGCTCGAGCCACCCTCGAGTTGAGCTTGAGCTTGATTAATTAATTGAGTTTGAGCTCGAGCTCAAGTCTAAGAGTTCGAGCCAACTCACAAGTCAGCTTGTTCATTATGAAATAGAGAAAAAAAATATTAATTTAAGCTAGTGTTATAATGAGATGACAGAGAAATAGTAGGAAATCATTCAATATAAAAGAAAAAAATATCATTTTTTATCATTTTAAATATAATTAATAGATAAAGACTTTAATTTTAATATATATTTTATACTAATATTTTTTTTAAACGAAGCCGGATTGTGAGCTGGCAAGCCGAGTTGGGGCTGGCTTGAACTTGGCTTGTTAGCTCATCGAGCTCAATTCACGAGCCTTTTATCGAGCCGAGCTTGAGCTAGCTCATGCGTTAGCTTGACTCAATTACACCTCCTACCACATTTATCTGTTGGTAAGAATGACAGAGAGAGAGCCTCAAAGGGCTGTTCAGGCTGACTTCAAGAGATTACGGGTTTGCATCATAAAGGAATCTCTAGATGATGATGGGTGACAGACAACATCCTTGCACAAATAGCCTGTCCTCAGCTATAGAGGATTCCCAATATATAGAAAATAATAGGCGTGACAGAAAGATAATATTAGAGTAATTTCCTATGTTGTAGTTGCGTCAATGATATTCAATAAATATGTCCGCCGGTAATCTAACATGTAGAGAAATGGAGTAAAGTGTCAAGTCTGAAATAATCTAGAGACTAATTTGATACTCTATAGACTCTGGGACGAAACTTACCACCTCAAAGTTTCAGGGGACTATTTTGACACTCTTTATTAGCGAAATGTGAGAATGAAAAAATATTGCAACAGCCGAGGTCCTTACCATAGCCAAGCGATTGCTGCTGGCCATTCCAGCTAGGATTTGCATGATTCATTTGAGCTCCTGCAATATAGTTCGCCTGCTCAAACTGAGTTTCCGTTCCCCTCGGAGCGCCTTCATTGGAATAAACAGTAGGCTGTCTGCTGAAGCTGGGGTGAAGCAGCAATTGGAGTTTGTGATGCCGGAAATCCTGCAGTAGAGCCAAAAGGACTTGAAGGATTGGCATTGCTGTTGTTATTATTACTCTGAGGAAACATGTCAACAAGAGCGAGAATGTTCTGATTAGGCGGCGAAGGCGAAGCTGCTGGCTCGCTGACGGAAACAAGGGCGAGCTGATTTGCTGTTGTGGGTGCATTGAAATCATCGCCGCTTAGCAGATCTATAAGAGGGTCAACCTTTTTTGCAGCAGTTGCGGAACCATTCGATGCTGGGGGAGCGGGCAACGCTAATTGCTCGAACGGGGATGGGCCACTACTCGTGCTTGTGGAAGATCTGAAGATCATATAAATTATTTTTTGGGATGTTTATGCAGTATTATTTGAATAACATCGTAAAAAATAGAAATTTGCTGACATCCGGTCTTGAATCCTGATGCTCTAATGGTTTAGCGGAATTTGATAATAAAACAATATTATTATTTGGGATTTTATGCAGTATTATTTGAAATGGAAAATTACATACATAGCACTCAAAACTTTTTAATTATCAAACTAGCACCCTCTCCATCTATTTTTCAAAATCTCACTCGGATTCGGATATCAAAATACTCGTATGTTTCATTTTTATCAAATTCACAACAATTTGATTGTGGTAGGCGCAAATGCACATAGTTCAAAAAATAATCTGGATGCTAGTTTTGTAAATGGCGAAATCCAAAGTGCTTTGCATGTAATTATCCCAATTGGAATAACGTTAACAAACATGCCAAGAAATAGAAATTAAAAAATGACATTGAGTTTTTGAGTCATGACGCTAAGGGTTTCGAAAAACGGTTTGAAAAAGACAGAATACGGATTATAAAAATTTCATCACTAGAAGGGAGGGGATCTGGGTTAATCAGGCAATTCTGCAAATTTTCAATGTTGGGTTAAAAAAAGTTCATTTTGATACATGGAATGAATACCTTTGCTGTGGCTGTTTGCTGCTATCTGTTTTCGTTGCTTTAGAATCATCGATATCAACGAGTGCCTGAAGAGACTTCGGTTTCTCGACGCGAACAGCAATTCCAGCTGCAATGGCATCGTGTTTTGCCAAAACACGCTGCAGATCATCATTAAGAGTAAGCCCGAGAGAGAGAAGCTCCTCATCCCTGAAATCACATCAAACAAATAAGCAAAAGACATCTTTCTTCATGAAAGATAAGTTAACCAAAAGTTCGTAAAAGAAATTGGGAAACTTGCAAACATTGCACGCAATTCTTATATATTTACGTATGTCACACCAAAACTTTCATATTTACATACATAGCACTTTGGTGCCTTAAACCTGTGCATGAAAAGGTGCTTTTCACTCTTAAAAAGTGATAATAGTGATATTTTTTTATGTAATATTAAAAACTTGAGTATTATACGTGTAAATATGAAAGTTCAGGTGAGAGAGCTGTAAATACATAAGGATTGTGTGTTTTTATGAAAATTAAATTCATTAGAGCTTAGGAGGACCAGATCGATAAGGAAAAATGTCTTACGAGGTTGAATTCACAAGCTGCATCACTCGTTGCTTGTACGAACGACATTGCTCGGCGAGGTCAACAATAACCTCCTGCCTAAGCCCCTACAGATCGACGAAGGCATGCTTTAGAACTTTGCAGCTGGTTACACCATTTACATAAATACCACCAAATTCCTATGTATTTACATATCTAACACCATTTTAACTTTTAAAAAGCAGAATACACCAATTCATGCATGGGTGAAGTGGCATATATGTAAAAATTGAATTTTAGGTGTTAGATATGTAAATGAGTAAAGTGCCAAAATAGTCGCTTGACTATTTACATGGGGCCACACTTTAGTCTCAGAGTTCATATAAGTTTCAAATTAGTCCCCATACTAATATAAGCTAAAAAAGTCCCACTATTTTAGCCCCCTTTAAAAGAATCTTGGGAATACATTGACCCAATTATAAGATCTGGGACTAAAATGCCCTGACAAGGAGTCAGGGACCATTTTGACCCTTTTCTCATATGTAAATACATAAGAATTGACGAGTAAGTATGTAAATTTTCCAAGAAATATTTCAACTTTGCTGTTTTGAGTGGCTTGAAGCCTCATAAAGATGATGAGATAATTATCAAAAATGAATTCAGGAATCAGCTCTCACTAGCTGAAAGTCCTACGCAAGAAAATCACGTATAATCTAGCTTAAGCTACTCAATACAAGAAAGTAATCTCATGCAATCTATGAGAAATTGAGAAAATATATAATTATTTTAGATATTATGTAAACTTTTCATATTTATTACATGGGTTTATTTGGAAAGGATAAAATTAATAAATTGTTATGTTGCTTTTATAAAATGATAAACTAAAATTCTTTATAATATATTATATAAATAATTAGTTTAATTGAATAAAAAATTATTATATTTTGAATTACATTAGTAATTACAGTAGTATTAATTATAATGACAGTGATGATTAAAACTTCTTTGAGGATTAATTTAAGCTTTTTAAGAATTAGCAGGAACCTTATTTGGAAACTAAATTTTCACCTTATGTTAGAATTTAATTGTGTAATTATCCTAATCATTATAATGAATAATGAAAAATTAAGCATTCTTAACAAAGTTAATCGAAATTGATTATAAATTTGATCCAAAAAAATTTAATTTAATGATGAACAATTACTAAATATGATTGAGAGGCATCACATCATACTAATTGCAAAATATGAATAGGTTATTAAGGTTAATCATCAATCTAACTGAACTATCATGCTAGAAAAAAGATATTTGCTTAACATAACAAATAATGATAATGAATAATAACAAATTCTTTTGAGGGTCAAATTGCTCGATCAAGTGGAATTGCATAAAAAATAAAGTTGTTTTAGAGACTTTTGGTTTGGAAGTGTTATTATATTGTTTATTGGCCACACTGGCTTACCTCTCTGTTTCCGGGATCTAAAGCATTGAGCATCTCTGCAAGCACATCCATAATTCCACGAGCATTCTGAATTTCTGTAGCACTGAAAAGATGCATGCTTCGGAATTCAAGTGGTGCTTTTGTACAAAATATCACTTAATATTTCTAAGAAAAAAATAATAAGTGGCGTTTTTGTACTAGGAAAGTGACTAAGCAAATGTAACACAGACGCATTAATTTAGAGGCGAGCAGGAACTATAGATATCAACTGCCAGACAACTTTCATGATTAAAGCCAAAAAAAATAAAGGCTTACGGGATAAATCCACATTTAAATAATTCTACTTGGAACCAAATAACACTTTAAAAAATCCAAAAGAATAAATTGTACCTCAACGTAGGAAAATCATGAGGGGCAGAAGCCTCAGGTAAATCTTCTCCATAGTTAGAATTTCTCAAATTTGGAGGATAGTTAGCCAACGGCTGTGTTTGTGGAGGAGTTAATACAGGTGCAGGTCTCTCGGACCTTTGAGGAAACACAGCACCAAGACGCTGAAAAATAACCAAATTTTACATAAGGTCATATTAATGTAAAAATTAAAAATAAGAAGATTTACATACATAACATTCAAATCCTATGCATTTACATATCTAACACCTAAACTTCAATTTTTACATATATGCCACCTTACCTATGCATGAGAAGAATTGTTTCACTTTTTTAAAGTTAAATAATTGTATTTTTTATTTGATATGAAAAATTTGGGTGGTAAAAATGTAAAAAAAGCAAAGTATAGGTGTTAGATATGGAATTTATAAAAAAGCAAAGTTTAGATGTTAGATAGGTAAATACATAAGAATTGGGTTGGTATGCATGTAAATGCCCCTTCAAAATAGCAGTATCGCTGTATTTTTTAGAAAATAATTAAAACGTTACAAACAACAAACTACATAGTTGATGGATATCAAACTTGCTTGTGGAATTTCATTTCACACATGAAATGTTGCTTTCCTATGATCCTTGAGGCCCATCTAATCTAGAAACTAGATAGCACTTAATTGAACAAAAACACATAACCAAACAATACCAGCAACTCCTGATATGCAACATAATACTGTGGATATCGAGCCCGTGAGCCACCAAAAGCTTCCTGCCAAGTGTCTATCAATACCAATATCTTTTCCTTTACATGAAAATCAGGGTTCTGCATGCAAAAGAAGCAAAAAAATTACAAAAAAATATCATGAACCATGAATTCAGGTAAAGCTTTAAACGTTTTGCAAACCTTTTTCTTCACTATCTTCACCATCTCATGGAGTATGTCTTTCTCCGCTACTTGCAAGTGGACAATATCCCCACAATTCTTTATGACCGTCTCCAGGAGCTGAATTATAATTGACCAAAAAAAAAAGTTATTGAATTACTTCAAATAAATATGTATCTGCCTAAATAAATATGTATCTGCCTGACATTGGATGAAACATAAGGCACCAAGGCCGGTTAAAGAGTTTGAAAGGAAGGGGGCACAAAGAAACTACAACGAGATTTCAACAAGGAGAAAAGTGTCAAAATAGTCCTCTAACTCGTTGCAGGGAGCCATTTAAGTCCTAGAATATATAAAAATGTCAGTTTAGTCCCCATACTCTTTTAATATGGGTTGATATAGTCCCAGTGAGAACTATTTAACCCCCATCAAAAGAGTCTTGGGACTAATTTAGCACTTTTATAAACTCTGGGACCAAAATGACCCAATCTGAATAGTCAGGGGACTGTTGTGACACTTTACTTTTTCAACAAGTATCATTTAACAATTATCATGTAGAGATATATTGAGCACCATTGACCAAGATAACCTGAAGAGATATAAATTATTTAGTATAGTTCCTAAGATTCAAACTATATTATTAAAAATCACCTCTACAGCGGATAACTTAGCAGACTCATGACCTGGATAAAGGCATAGTTAGCTTTTGGATTGGGACAGGCTTATACCTGTTGAAAGTTAGACTTGTGAATGTTTTCACAGCCTGTCTGAGGTCTCTTAATTAAAAGAAGAATGAAATTAGCACTATTTATAATGCTTGATAAGATTTTAAAGGTATTTTGGTAGTTCATTGAAGCAAACCTTCATTGAACAAGCACAAGTTTTTCCCTTTAACACTCAAAGCCAGCACTCCACTTATCCACACAATGAGAAAAAAAAAGGAAAAATATACTGCCCTAAAAGATAGAAAGCATACCTTATGAAAATCCTTGAAAGTTATGCCTGTATTCCAGAGATTTCCCTTACATAAAATAAGAATTCAAACAAAAAATTATTTTAATTTTGAGGGTTCAGATTTTCTATAGAAATGAGGGCCTGGTTAATGACATGATAGCGCATGACCCCTATGATTAATTATGACGAATTCTCGATTAGCATTTTAAAAATTTAAGGTCCCACTCTATGTCATGCACACACAATTATGACACATCTAGCAAAGTTGGCATTCCCCAGATATGGCCAAAAAAATAATGTAAATTAAAAAACTAAATCAATAATAAAAAAAATCAATCAAATTAAGCTTTGGTTTGTTTTCAATGCCGGAATATACAGAAAATGATTGATTTATTTTGGTTCAGGCTTAAGTTTTTAGTAAACCAAAACTAAAAAAAAAAGAAAAAACGAACTAAATTACATAAACAAAATTTTTAAAGACATCTAATAAAAAAATAATAATTTATCTTAAATTTATAGCTTATAAATCTTTCTTTTATAGTAGTGAAAAAACAAACTTACGAAGATTATGTTACTACAAGACCTTTATTGAGTCATCTAATCAAATATAAATGATTTATTCGAATTTCATGGCCTGACAATCATCCTTTCACTATTACCCTGGAAAATCAAGCTAAACTAAACCAAACTAAACAAATAAACTAACTTAAACTAAACAATTATAACTCTTTAAGAGCCTCATCCTGAACCACAAACCAAACGGTTTGGTTTAGGGTAGTTCCAATCTTTGTCAAACTAAGTATTGGTTTTTACATTCAATTTGATTGCAAATCAAGTCGATTTGGAGACGAACTAAAACAAATTGATAACTTAGCATGTTGATTGTCTATATGCACGAGCACTCGTATCTCATGCACACAGCCACATATTAAATCCATCAATTAGCAATTTGATAGTTTAAAATATCTCCCTCTCATATATTGCAAACTAGTCCCTTAGTTCAACATTTTAAGTTCTTTTACATACACATTCATTTGAAACGCTGAAGAAAATGTTGATTAACAGTACAAGAAAATCTTTGGAAAGATGAATTTTCTCTTCCAAGCACTCCTCATCCTTGTGTCAGCCTCTTCCATTGAAAATTTTTTCCCATTTTTCCCATTTTAAAATTAATTGAACATTAACTTAACAAAACGAACCCACAAAAGCTGTTTGGTTTGGATTGCTAGCATAAGGTTTCACTAACCAAAAACCAACAAAGATTTAGATCTCTCCATGAAGTCCTAATTTGACAAAACCCAACCCAAGATTAACCAAAGAAACAACAAACATTTGCAGTTGATGTCATCAAAATTGTCCTCAATGTAAAAAGCACATAATAGACTGGGATCTTACCGTTAGTGCGAGAAGCTGAACCTTAGGATTCTTGCTCAAGAGACGTTTCTTTATGCCTTTTACAACGTCCTTTGCTTGCCTGTGAACAGCACAAAATATAGTGAAAAGAAATTATACCCAACATATGATCGTTTTTACATGTAAAGCGGAAGAAAGATGCGCACAGAATAATTTAAAGGGATACTTACATACATACCACACAATTCTTATGTATTTACATATCTAGCTCCCAAAGTTAGATATTTGCACTTGTAAACACCTTAATGTCGTACACCTATTCATGAAAGGTGTATTTCACTTTTAAAAAGGAGATGATGTAGTACTTTTGATGTGATGTGAAAGATTTGAGTGGTATGCATGTAAATATAAATGTTTAGGTGTTAGATATCTAAATTCATAAGAATTGTATGGTGTGTATTTAAATGCCACTAATTTGTTTAAAGCTCACAGCTAAACTTTCATATTTCCACACATAGAACTCAAATCTTTAAACTAAAATACACCTTTTCATGTGCTATGCAAGTAAATATGAAAGTTTAGGCGTGAGATATGTAAATATAAATGAATTGTGTGCAGGTATGTAAATTTTCCTATTTATTAATTAGTCCTTTGTAGATCTAGGATTTGGCAGAGAAAACTGGACCAAGTTCAGAGTGAAGTTTATCCCAAATTACCCAAGAGAGAGGTAACCATATAGAAGTTAATCAGAAGTCAGTCCCAGCCTAGAGATTTTGTACATAATGGATGAGGTGCACTGTTAGGGTTGCTAATGCAAACTTTGGATGAGGTGCACAAAGAAATACACCAGAGAAAAGAAAATTCTAAATATTCAAACTTCTAAATTATGCAAAGATAAGATTCTTTTGATGCAAAACATAAAAGCGCACAATTTATTTCAAAAGAAAATATAAAAGTAGGGAAAAATCTGAAATTCCACAAGAGATCTGAAAGCAAATATAAAATTCCACAACCATTAATATTCACACCACAAAAATGAAAGCTGATAGGTAACTAACTTGACAATATCTCAATCACACACACAAACTAGTCACAAAAAATATTTTAAATGAAAGAACCACCACAAATTTGAAGATCTAAGCAAGCTGGCACAAGAAGCATTGCCTTGAAATTTGTCATTAAGACTTACTATTTACTTGAAGAATCCACATCGAATAATACACATAGAACTTTGAGAGAACATCAATTGTGCTCGGCAATTCATTGTAAATTACATGCCTCGAGGACCCAATTAATAACACGAGAGACCTGAAATCAACAAAGTTTCAGAATTCCCCATAATCTACTCCAACTTTGCAAATTTGAATTTTAGCCTCATTAGATCCCATCAATACAAAAAGTTTCAATCCCAAATTTGAATTCTCTGTTTTGGCTTGTTTTCTAATTTTTTATGAAGTCACAGATTCTGTGCTATTTACATTTAAGCAAAAATATAAAATTCCACAACAATTAATATTCACACCACAAAAAAGAAAACTGATAGGTAACTAACTTGACAATATCTCAATCACACACACAAACTAATCACAAAAATATTCTAAATGAAAGAACAACCACCAATTTGGAGATCTAAGCAAGCTGGTGCTAGAAGCATTGCGCTGAAATTTGTCATTAAGACTTACAATTTACTTGAATTGCAAATTACATGCCTCGAGGACCCAATTAATAACACGAGACCTGAAATCAACAAAGTCTAAGAATTCCCCAAAACCTACTCCAAATTTTGCATATTTGAATTTTAGCCTCATTAGATCCCATCAATACAAAAGATTTCAATCTCAAAAAAGCAATAATCATATAAAACCCAAAACAACACTGAAGGAGCACACAATCAAACCTGTCACGGAAGAAAGGTCCCAAATCTAAATAGCACAGAATGTGGGACTTCGTAAAGAATCAAAAAACAAGCCAAAACAGACAATCAACTTCTCTGTACAAAACTAGATCACATATAACAGGAAATTATAAGATTTTATCCTAGTTACTATAGAAGCTATGAAGAGCAGCAGCGCTTACAAAGGAACCGATCTTCCTAACATTATAATTAGTGGAATTGGTAACATGTTGTGGGCTCCGAAAATTCTAACGCCCCTGGAGTCTCTGTTTTGTTTGTGTTGAGAAAGCTTTACATGTTAAATTTTCAAAGATAGATTGAATTTGTTGATAGGACAATACCCAGAGATTTCGTCCTCATTTTATGAGGACTTTTTGATCTAGGGTTCGAGATTTTCAACAAATACAAGTTCCTATAGTTAATTGCCTTTCCTGATACTAGGAGAACACTTTCGATTAAAGCTAGTCATTAAGAATTGAATATACAACATATAGTACACACAATTTAAGTTGTAAATTTTATCACTTAATGCTTAAAACCGATGGTGTGGAAATGATGACAAACACGATCAAAATCCCATGATTTCATTATCTTGTGTCGTCGTAGTCTCTGATCTAATTAATCAGGGGAGGTAGTCGACCCAATTTTACTGAAGGATTCCTGTAAGCAACCATAAATTACATCTAATGGACCCCTGTAAATCTAGGGTGGATGGTTCTCTAAGTGGACAAATTTAAGTTGACCTTTGTTAACGGAAGAATTTATGTTAATCAATTGCAGACTTATGGTTCACAACTCAAAGGGTAAAAATGTCGTTGGAAAACATACAGGTTGCAACCATGATTGTAATATAATAGTCATTTGGCAACAACTAACCGGTCAACGAGTTCTGATTGTAACCGCTACTTTGTGGTTTCATTTGACAGCAAAACTATGTGGACATAGTACTCAAGTCACATCCTTACTGGCATGAAATTACTTCAAGTGTGAATACATGATAAACTCGATATGACATTCAATTTTTGTGAGTCGAAATCAATCATTAGTTTGTCAATCTCAACAAACTGTTGCGGAGGGTAAACTGATTTTGCTTTGAGCCTTTAGCTGATTGACTTTTAACTAAGTATTTTGATTTATTTGTTTAAAGTCTATAGATGATTGATTTTAATTTGAATATTTTGATTTGTTATTTTGAGAACTTGATTTGGCAATTAATTTAGAAGTTGACCCCTCATATTGAGATTTTTAGTCAACACGACCATCATTAAGGATTTGATTGTTAAATTTGAACCCTTTCAACTTTACTTCTTACTTATAAAGGATCGTGTTCAGTATTTACACACACACACACAACTGAATTTATTCAAATAGACTTTGAAATTTGGTTCAACTTGATCATCATCAAGGAGTTTGACATTTTAAACTTTCATAATCTTAGCCCCCAATAAAATTTAGCCCCAATTTATGATATTTCAATAGATCACATAAAGAATATTTACATTAAAACTTAGGTTTTATTTGATTAGTTCCAAATATAATCAAATTTGAGACTTTTAATTCAAAATCTCCGTTTCTCTTTATTTTTATTTTGAATTATTTCAAAATTCAAATAATTCAATTTTTTAGAAAATTTGCAGGTCCAAATTATCATAAATTTTGACAGCCTACCGGTGTATACTCCTGTTTCAGGACTGCATCAGATGTGTCTAACTGCCTAACTATTTATAAGACACGTTAGTCAGTGTCACAAGACACTACGGTCAAAAGTTATCTTCGAATCCACTAATCTATAAGGCGCACATGGGTCTTCAATTAATCTGCATGCAAGTGATGCAAGCATAATTTCCCATACAATTCTCTAACTCTTGCCTTCTCTCTTTCTCTCTCTCCATGTTATTTTCTAATTATATATGTATGTATATGTGTATATGTATATATGCATACGTATATACATACATAAAAAAGAGAAGTATAGAGAATGTTTTATGGCTATTGTTGGGTTTGTGAGACAAAAAAAAGGTAAAATGCCTGACTTGGGAGATTTGAGTAGGTGTGAAATGAGGTAAAGAGAAATTTTAAAAAAATAATAGGTATTTGGGTTAAGTGAATTGAGAAAAGTTTTTATACGAAGATTCCATTATTGCTTTCCCACTGACTCGTAGGTTCTCTGTTTTCAACATAACACAAATACAAGGTGAGGAGAAAAGTGCTAGGCTTGAAATCTCACTTCATGAGCAGAAGGCAAAGGCACAAAAGAATTGAAAAAAAGTTTTGAAGGTCTCTGTTTGCTGCGATTCCTTTATTGCTTTCTTAGTGAAGAACATGAATTTAGGAGGCTTTTGCTTTGCTCCTAGCTTCACAAATGGACACAAAAAGTATTTCAAAGGCCTTCGCGCGTCATGATCCCATTGTCGCTTCCCTGTTGAGCTTTAATCACGACTATAGCACGAGAGGAATAGGAGGACAGAAAGAATGCTTCGGTGAGAACTTCCTACATCGATTTCGGCTGGATAGCGCAAACACGGGAGCTCCTCTGTCGTTTAAAATTGAAGGAACTTTGTATTCTTGGTTTGTTGCGATCTAATCGTTGCTTCTCCCAGGATTAGATTTTTTGTGGTAGAACCGAGTGTCAACTGGAGAGGAGTTTCAGAAATCTTCGTGTACAGCGATCCCGTCATTGCCTTTCTTGATGACTAGCTTGTGACCAAAGAAAAAGAAGTCATATCAACTGGAGGAAAGATCACACGTGGAGGATTAGTGCATCTTTCTGTGCGACAGAGAAGAGAGACTAAACAAATTTTTCAAACTAGGAAGTGAGCAAGGCTTTGATTTAGTCATTCAAACTTAGAGTTTCGGCGGTCTTGTCTGCGGCGATCCTGCGGTTGTTTTATGATTAGCCCTAACGGCAACTGTCTCGCAAGTTGTATACAAGAGATGAAAAAGGGGTTTTGACTTGACTCGAGCGGGAAAGGATACGAGTGGGAGAAAATAGGCTCTGTGAGTTTTTTGCAACTATGACCCAATCCAAATTCTCTAAGGGCTTCGAATTAGCTCTTAATAAAGAAATAAATAGAGGGAGTGGCTATTCGCTGAACTAAGTAGGAGCAAGTAGGAATTTTAATGTTGTTTTATTTCCCTTTTTCTCCCTATTTTTTATTTTGTTTTATTTCATTTTATTTATGGGTCAACACATGTTCTTGAAATAAGGTTAAATCCAATACACAAAA